TGGGCGGTCGAGGTGACATATGTTCAATTTATATGTTTCAAAAGGGACTGACTCCCCGACATGTAAGTTTTGTCCCAGCGACATGTAAACCCACCCTTAAGTGGGGCCATTAAGATAAGATTACCGTACATAAGTATCCCACATAATTTGTATGTATAACCCGAGTAGAATTCTAGGTATACTCGTCCTATTATTATGCACGGAAGGTCGGCTGATTAAATTAACTATATCGTTAGTCGGCCTGTTTAATTAACGATACGTCGGTCGGCTCGTTCAATTATTAACGATATCGTCGGCTTGAAATATAATGAGTGTAGATCTTTAGGTACTCGGGCTGTACATACAGATTATATAGGTAGGATACTTTTGAAAGATACTGTTATCTTCATGGCTCCACTTAAAGGTGGGTTTACATGTCGCTGGGACAAAACTTACATGTCGGGGAGTCATTCCCTTTCAAAAAGAAGGAGAAAAAAAGACGGGCCTCTTATGAAGTAAGGTAATCATATCCCTTTTCGTCCTCTATATTTCACGCCAGGCCTCCGACTGGTGGTTTTCTGTGGCGCCCACATGTCGGTTTTAATCACCACCGCTAATAAGCCAGGAGAATTGAGCTTCGTAACGACACGGAGTACTTGGCCTCTGCAGAGATTCGACGAGGGAGAACGACGTCCGAGGGAATGAATGTGATCAAAATTGACTGGTGGATCAGGGCCCCGGGAGAGTCCGGGCTACGGTTCGTAGCGTGCTGTCAACCATGGTACCGGTGTTTTAGAATACCGATAGGAGCAGAACGACCATAGATATAACGGTGGCAGCAGTTCGTTCTCTGACGGTCATGCGCGGTTACATAGTTACACACAATTATCTCAATCAATTTTGATCCTATTTTGACCGTTCCGGTTACGCTGTATCTGACAAACTACACACTCACCTCAATCAATTTACCCTTCAATTTTGACCCTATTTTTTTTTACGGTTCCGGTTACACTGCATCTGACAGGCTATGGGCATCTGACAGTAACAAACACCCTCCTCGCCTTGGCACGGGTGGTCGCAATCTGGCGACCTTTCATTTGCGGTTTACAACTTTTTTCCTTTAGTTTTTATTTATTTATAAAAAAGGGGTGGTTGGCTTGGGCATGGCAGCGGGAGCACTGCAGCGTTGTACCGATGCAGGGCAAGGTTTGTCGGACTCCGGCTCGGGTGGGGTGGTTTTCATTGGACAGGGCATCATCACACTGTTCAGGTTTAGTGGACCTGGATTGAAAACCGGACTTGGATGCACGATTCGCTGGCAGAGAGCCACAGGCAGCTCGATCGGCGTACTGATAATCGCGTTCGTTCGTGTCGAGCTGGCTTGGGGTGGAATGTGTGTTTGGAAATGAAGACGTCAGACGCCTGTCCGTTTCTTTTAAGGGGATTCGTGTTCACTGCGCCGGTTATGCCTTTGCCCGAGCAGAGCCTGACAAACCCACAACCTTTTTTCCCGACCAGGACCACTAGACAGATGCCGAGTCGACGACTCTGTCGATGAATGATTGAAAAAACGGCCTGTCCACGGAATATGCGGAGGCCGTTTCCAAACAGTTGGCTCCAAGGTCAGCCGCCTGTTCTGTTGACCTTCCGACTGGCGGATTGGCTAAACGCCCCCTTTTTTCTCCCTCACGATAATAAAAGAAAGGAAGAAGGGAAAAGAAAAAAAATCCAAGGTCGCGTGGTGCCCCCTGGGAGCCGGCAACCACTGGCTGATACGAGCCTGCTAGGAGGGGTACAACTCGCGCCCGTGATCTCGTTAAACACGACAATCGACGCAGTCTCCGTTTCCCAAGGCGAGGGGTTGAGCATCAGGTTAGTCGACGATTGGGTGGAAAGGTGGTGGGCAGAGGGAAGGAAAGGAAAAAAGTAATATGTTGAGCAACGCCATGATTCAGGATCTCTTTGAGACATAGCAGTCGCAAATGAGGCAGGAAAGCCCGTTCGTTCATCCAGGTGCTCTTGCCCGCTTTTCCCACTCTCCAAGCCCCCATCCTCCACCCCAATAATAATAATATTGCCGGATGCTCGTGATACCCTACGTCTTGGTCTTCCCTGCATTCGTTCTTGGCCGAGAGGCTGTCGAGAAGAATTATTAAACCCATACCGGCATCTTTCCTTTGGGTCCCTTTGTTGCTCTCTCCCTTGTTTTCCCGATTCCCTTTGAATCGAAGTTCCTCTCCTTCAATATCCATTCCCGCAATCCTCGGTTTGAACCTTTCATCAGTCCCACGGATCATCGAACCTTCGGAATTCGAGGGGTTACTTTGCTGGTTGTAGCTGGAAGCGATTCGCAAGACCCTGCTGATCATTTGGTCACACGGAGAAACGCCGGCCGCCTGATACGGCCTTCTGCCACTGGCATCACGGTCTTCACCTTCCTCTCGTCCCGAGGCACGGATAACCCCAATCTGTCCCTGATCTATTGTCCACCCTTCAATTGTTTTGGGTCCTCCATACCCAGCGACTTCCTTTCTGGACCCTTGGACCCTCGGTCTTATTGTTCATCCATTATCTATTGTCCCGTCATTTTGTTTTATTTCTCTCCCATTTTACAACTATTTGCTCGTCATCGTCGAATCTGGCTGTTCATTCATTTTCTTCCATTCCAACTACCACACAATAGGTAGTCTTTTGGTCTCGATACCTACTTGTTGATACTCTATTGTTTCGTTCGAATCATAGTCCCTTCGCTCAACAAGTCGGTCTTTTTTATTTTTGGAGCAAAGAGTACGATATATAGTCTGCCTTTCTGCAGCCGAAGAAAGATTATCTGTTACTTGTCTGAACATCTAACCACGACGAGTTCGGCCTTCAAACCATCAAACGACCATTTTTGTACGTGCGCCCGTTTCCCTTTGATTCTAAAATCCTGCGTCTCTGTCGCAGGCTTTGAACCAGTCGAGCCCTGTGGCTTGCAAGTCTCTCGTCTTTATCAGCAACAGTATCGGCCGCAGTACCCCTACCCCAAGTTCTTCAACTGACACAGAAGACAAGGAATCCAGCAGTAAAGCCAGTACATCGCCTGATATCTTCCTCAATTACCCCGAGACTGTCAATCTTGTCAATCACGGGCCCAGCGAAGGTTGAAGATCTAAAAAAAAAAAAAAAAATTGGGACGCGGTGGCGATTTTGCAAGCATCCCTCGTCGTTTGGTGGTGCCAAGCAAAGAAGTTGCTTGCCCCTTGACCTTCACGAGCCGGACTCACCGGACCACCGAGAACAACCCTGTCCAGCCGTGTAATTCTATCTCAACACCAGCATTCACCGCTCGCCCCGCAAAGCTTCGTCTTCGGACTGTCCCCGTTACTATCGGTGCTCCCTTCCGCATCACAAGCGGGTATCCAAAACGGACTTCGGCTTCGACGACCTAGGGACCCAACAACGAAACGAACCTAAGTTTTCTGGTCTTGTCAGCATCGTGACTTTGCCGTCTTTGGCATCCTCGGCAAGACCGCAGCTATTCTCCACGCAACGGACTTGAAGCATTTTAAGAGGCCTTCATCCGCCGCTTCGGACTCAGCAGTCTTTCCATCTCGCCTTGTGCTTTCATCATCACTCGACGTTTCAAAGACATCACTCATTACTTACTACAACCCCCTCAAACTCAGGCCCAAAGGCAAAATTGACTTACAACGTTCTGGTCGCTCAACAAAGCACTTTGCAAAGCTAAGCCTTGTTCGATTTGAAATTCAGTTCGACCGTCCATAACCAACTCGGAACCCGAAAACCAAGTCAAACTGTGTTGTCAATTACCTATTCGCCCGACTCCCGCATACAACGTACCTTACGTGGATTTCAATCCGCGAACGCCTTGCTCAGCCCAACGAACTCTCAGCTTGCCCGGGCTTAGTGGTCCAACTGACGCGTATACGCATATACACCTACAAGCCACACACGGGTTGCTGTTCGCTGCGTCGTCGACACACGAACAAGTATTACCATTACCATCACCTGCACCAACCACTTTGCCAATCAGGTCTCTTTTCTTCTTCTCACAAGCGGATCTCTCGGAGGCGTCTTTCAACGACACGGACATCCTCTCCCCAGATCTGTACCTTCAGTACATCCTCATTCGAGTCCCATTGGCGGTTTCTCCTTGGCCGGCGGACCCACATACCTTCGGCTAGCCCGCCCCTCCACTCAACAACACCCCATCCAGGCGTTTCCCGTCTGAACCCCTCGCCACACCACACCCCACCTTCACTTACGATTTGGACCCCCTGTCTAGCGTCTACGTTAGACTCTCAAGCATTGCTTTCGCTCAGCCTCGTGGGTCCAGCGTCTGTAGCGTCACCCACTGACGACGAGATCCCAAGCCTCCCACTTCGTGCGAAGTATTATTTCTGAGGGTTGCCTGATCGTCTGCCAGTCGTTCGGGACAAGTGTTACTGATTTCTGTCTAACTCAACTACATATGAACAAGGACACCGCCTGTCTCGTCCCCGTTCTCATTCTTCCCCTCTCGGTTTACCACAATTACGGAGTAACACAACGAAGTCACACACCAAAGTCACACACCAAATTCACACACCAAAGTCACACACCAAAGTCATAACCAAGTAACACAACGAAGTCACACAACAAAAAAAAAGGGCAATGGCTTCACTTACAGACACTCGCGCTACGACACTACTCTTCAGCCTCTCAAGAGACGAGTTTGTCCCGATGGGCGAGACGGAACGGCTTAGCTTGGAAGAGCTCAACGATGCGGCTCTCAACCATTTCATATACCAGCCGGTCTCCCAGCAGATGATTGCTTACCTTGCTGGCGCCGCGCTCAATGTCATCGCCTGTGACTCGCCAAATCTGCCCAGGGGTCGCAAGGCCCGCGTCGTCCAACCCGAAGTTGATGATCTTCCCACCCTCGAGAACTTCATCACCCAACTTGTCACCTCCTCCAACGTCCAGGTCCCCACCCTCATGTCCACACTCGTCTACCTCACTCGCCTGAGATCGAAGCTACAGCCGGCCGCTCGCGGCATACCATGTACCACGCACCGCATCTTCCTTGCTTCTCTCATCCTTGCTGCCAAATATTTAAACGATAGCTCGCCTAAGAACAAGCACTGGGCCGCCTACAGCCACGTCTATCACGATTTTCGCAGCTTCGGATTTAGCGGCTCTGAGGTTAATGACATGGAGCGGCAATTACTTGGACTTCTCGACTGGGACTTGCGTATCACCGAGAGGGATCTTTACACCGAGTTCGATCCCTTCCTGGCTCCCATCCGGGATAGACTCGACGCCAAGCACGAGCGTGTGTTGCGGCGCAGGCAGAGGGAAGAAGAGGAGCGCCGCCAGATGCTCAAGTCGTCTATGTTCATGCGCTCTGGCTCTGCGACACCGCACTCGAGAGAGACATCTCGATCCCGGCAGAGGACGCCCGAACACATCCGCGCTCCCAGCACTCACCGCTCCAACAACTCCGCCACCTCATCCATCAACCCGCCACCACTGGTTCACAGCGGTAGCAACGACAGCTGGACCGACGTCTCTGTGCACTCCTTGACGCCCTCGAAACCGGTCACTTCATCCTCGTGCTACTCCGACTGGGAGGAGCCCCCAGACTGGCCCCAAAACCTACCAACGGCCGAGGACTATCTGGAGATAGTCGCAGAGATCGACCGCTGGGGCCCATCTCGCTTCAGCGACTACAATCCCGACCCTCTGGATGACCCGAGGCCGGTCGAATTCCACCAGGCGCCCAGCTTGCCGAAACAGAAGCGGGCGCGTATGGGCCGCCGCTCTATGCTGGAGCGCATGCTCGCCTCGGTGGCGGTGCGATAGAATCGCACCAAACTTAGACTCAAAAGCAAACTCCGGCGGTTTATATAAACCCCTTTACTTTTTCTTTTTTGTTTTGGCTTTGGTTTTGGGTTTGGTTTTGGGGTTCTTTTTTTTTTGGGGGGGGGGCTATGGGGGGTTTTTTTTTCTGGGTTTTTTTTTTCTGGGTTTTTTTCTGGGGGGGGGTTTTTTTTTTTTGATACCCTGCCTTTGAAGCAGTGACAGCGGAGTGTTAGACATAGCGAAACAATATGATTAAATACAGCGTAACTGTAATATGTTTTCCGTGCCTCTCTTAGTCGCTATTACTACTGTGGTTATTCCTGTGGTTGTTGATATAGTCACCGTCGTGGTCGTTATTATAGTCGCCGTCATTGTCGTCATTCTCGTGGATATTATTAGGTAATAAAATACTATACTAGTATTATAATATAATTACAATCTTCTTCTATAATAATAACAGAATATCTTCTATAATAATAGTATAAGGGCGGGTATATTAATTATAGGGGAAAGGGATAAAGGGAAACTAGGGGGCGGCTATCTATATAGCAATAGTGTATTTATACTAGTATATAATATATACTTTATAGGCTTTTTATATTACCGCTGCGTACAGGCATTAGCAGGGTCATTCTCTAAATATTCGAATCCGGGATTCGAAGGTCTTTTGGGGGCAGAGGATAGAATTGGTCGTCTGGTACGGGTTTGGATTTTTTTCATTCCTGGAGTCCCAGGCAGCATAACATGCCGTTTCAGGCACAGAGCGTTTGGTATTCGAGAATTAATAAGTCGGTCACTGGCCAGCATAAACCATCAACCTGTTTAAAGCGATACGCGTATCCATGATTACCTAAGGTACCTTGCAAGACCGATTTTAACTAAATATATTCGTCTGATATAAGGATTATGACTATTTTCATCTGATCTGTTGTCTACAGGTAAGGTACCTTAAGTCTCGTGGCATGGGACACAACATGTTTCTTGAGACGGGATGAAACTGGTCGACCTATCGCGTACATCGAACGCAGCGGCTGCCTGTCCCTCGCAGGTCTAACAACGATTACGGACCGTGTCCCAAGCATCATTACCTACTCCCGCACCAAGTATACCTTGACGGCGCTGCACAAGCAGGTACGATCTGTGGAATACTGCTGAATTGACGTGAGTGTGCTTTAGCGGAGCGCTGATTTCAGGAATGTATGATTGCATTCTGAAGTAGGTACACAAAGAGCAGAAGAAGAAAATACAACATAAGAAGGTGTGCGTATTCAGCCAATCAGACAAATAGGAAGGTGTGCCCAAATCACCCACGATCGATGTCACACACCGAAACACGCGAGTAAGAAGGATATATTTTTCTGATTGGCTGAATACGCATACGTTCCTAATTTTTCGTCTTCTCTCTGGACAGAATATAATCACATATTCCTCAAATCAGCGCTCCGCTAAAGCACACTCAACAATCGACCATAAGGGTTACGTGACGTGTTGAGTGACTTTGACTTAGGTTATTAAGGTAGACTTACGACATCCACGTTACCAATCGAATCGGGCGCGGCTTAAACTGCCTACCTAAGGTTATATCGGGCTTCGGATTTCCATTGGCGGGACGAGACCTTTTGCCTCTTGATTTTCCAGACTAGACCGCAGGCAAGCCCTTAACTCTATACTATCTAGCTTGAACGTTGCGTTGACTGGCCAAATTAAACTTGTAAGGGGGGGTTTTGACATACGGATAAAGTAAAAAACGCACGTATCCAACTGGCGACGGAGGTGGCGCGATCAAACTTTGCACCCCCGATTGCTGTGAAGAGGGTGCAAATCAACCTGGATGGCCGCTCGTGAGGATTAGGGGACGGAGGGGTGAGTATCATCTATCGTACAAACGTAGTGGCGGGCTCAGTCCGTTAGACAGAAAAGAGGCGCTTTTTGGGTTTGCTGTTGGTTCTGTCCTGGGATGGAGGATAAGGTTTGGGTATTGTTTTCGCTTCTTGTTAGATTGATGCCAAAGATAGACCAACAGGTCGCGGCCGCGGAGATGATGCGGCGGAAACAAGGGGTAGGACTTGGGATGGGAGAAGGGCCCATGCCATGCGATCCCGTGCGTCAGTCAAGGGAACTTTCAGTCACGGAATATCACAGGCGGGGCGACGCTCAACGCGACGCTCAGTGGTAATCGGCCGGCCGCACTGCAGAGACCACCTACGCGTACCCCCCAGACAGCGAGGTCAGACGACGACAAAACTACAAAGAAAAAGCGGGCCGTGGCTGGATGGATGGAGCTTGGATGCTTCCGGAGCCTGGGTTCCCGTCAAGAGTCCTTAATATGAAGGTGGCGAATCTGTCATCTGAGGATGGTTTCCAAAGACCCCATATCTGATGCCATGTGGGGGACACCCACCCTCACCGCATAAGGCTGCCGGGAGAAGCGACGTCAGAGCACTGCTGCTGCGCAGTCCCCGGCACCGGAGAGGCGTCGCGGAGGCTTTCCATTTCGCCATCCCGGACAGCAAGACGCTGTAGAGTTTGGGGTCTGTCTCGGCATGCAGCTTGAACCCCCCTCTTCCTCTTGCCTTCTATCTCGTCGCTTTTACGAATGCCGAAGCTAAGATGCCAAGTGAGCTGCAGCATAAGCGGGACGATCTGGGGTAAGAGTAGGGGTGAGAACAGGTCAGTCTGCGGGAAAGGCGGTGGTGCTCCGGGGTTCGCGATGTTGATGCTGGTGATATGAAGAGGAGGCGATAGTCTTGGCTGAATAGAAGCCCTCGTGAAACGGTTAGTCAGCTTGTTTAGGTGGGACTTTCCGCTTGCCCCCGGACACGGTTCCGTTGATGGGCTGGAGGTGTGGCGTTCTACGTTATTGTGGCTTGTCCTGTGGCTGGGGGGCATGGCGCGTGACCTTACCTGCCGCCTTTCCGTTTGTGCTGAGCACCACCCAATTACCATATACCTTAAGGTAAGGTGCATTAGGTAATTACTTCGCCAACTCCTCGCCGTAATTACAGCTAAGGTAGGTACATTAAGTAAGTATATAGGCATCCAGATAGCTAAAGATAATACTACGAAGTAGTGTAATTACAGCAAAACTATTATATTCTAGCACATAAGTCACGGTATAGTAACCTCCTATTAGTTAGAGGTGTCCTATTATCCTCGCTTAGAAGGTAGTAGATATATTTGGATATATATACCCGCCTCCTTTTTCTTTCTCTTTTATACTTAATATAATTATATATTTCCTAAATCAACGCTCTATATAAGTATACTCCCGTTAATTTAATAGTTATAAGCCCGGGTAATAATAGTAACTAGTAACTTCCTGCTAATCTATTATCTATATTTATTTTTATATACTTTTATAGTATTACGGAGCCCTCCTACGCTCTCTCTCTTAATAATAAGCTCTTATTCGCTAAACTCTTACTAGATATTATATCGAATAAGCTTAAGATTATAGCTAAAGCGCTTAGTATCCCGCGCCTTAAATCCATATAGTAATAGGCTAATTAGATCTTCTATATCTAATCGTATGCCTAGGGGATAGAGGTCTAGGCATTACTTAATCCTAGCTAAAAGGATTAGCTAGATAACCGCCCTAAGTATATTATACCTAAATTCCTAGATTAACTACACGAATAATACTCTTAAGGCGAGCGCGATAATACTATTATACCCTTAACGCAGAACTTATACGCCTCGCCGAAATTAAGAATTAGTAGACTATCTCCTAGAATTAAAAGCTCGGTCGCCTTATTAAGACGTTTAATAAGGCTAATTAGCTACTTAAAACTACTATAAAGACCTTTATTTATTAATAGGCTATTAAAAAGGCTATTAAAAAATATCCCGGCTATAATAAAGAAAAGTAAAACCGATACTTTACATTACGCTATATTAAGGAATAGGCTATAATACCAGGGAAAAGATACACCGCAACGGATAATACTATTCGGACTTAACAGTCGTATATCGTAAATACTTCAACTTGAGGAGGAAAAGGAGACTTTACCCCCTCTACGCTGACGTGGCAATTTAGTTATCGTATATCAAATAGCACTTAGATAATCAACTTAGTAGAGCAGAAATCTCGTGTGTATATATTATATTAAGTTATATCCGTGTGAGTCTCTTATACCCTTAATTTAGATGGTAAAGACTCTATTATGGGTACTATATTATTTAGATCCTATCTGGTCTTTTCCGGTATCCGCCCTTATTATATTCTAATATAACTGGATAAAGACGTAGTGGCACTAGATCGTTAAGATAAAGATCAGATAAAGAGGTTAGTCTAGTAAAACCACGATGCATAACTAAAATATAACCAATACCACTAACCTTTAGCGAAGAAGTAGATCGGTAGTCACTATTCTAATCAGGGTAATATAAGTTAAACTAGAAAGATACCTTAAACGTAGAATAAGTAATTGTAAAAGAGGATAATAATTAAATCGTGGTCCCCCGATAGGGATATCCGGCGCCTATCCTTAATATATATATAGGAGGTGGACCCCGTAGCCTCGAAAAAGGGGGTCACGTAACCACCTGCTAAACTACTTTAAAGCCGTATCTACGCGGTTATAATACGGCCCTAGTTATCTTATTTACGC